TAAACCCAGGAATACCTTTTGCAAGAAACATGCAAGACTTATGTGGAAACGCTACAAAACTTTGCTTAGAGACAAAAGAGATCTGAGTAAATTAAGACACATACCAAATCCTGGATGGAAAGACACAGGATGTAAGCATAAATTAGAAGATTAATTTGTATTGGAATTATGTGATTCCAATTTTTAGAATCCTAAAAGAATTTAGGGAGGAGTGAGGAATTGGTGGGTTGATTAAAATTTTGTCAGAAACAATAAACTTGTGAAAACAGCTAAAAGCAGGGCAAAATTAAAAAGGAAGGGAAGAGATTTGCTTTAACAGATCCTGAAATGTATGATAAAACCTCAATGACTAAAACATCATATATTGGCATAGAAAGAACAGATGGATTAATGGACTACAAAAACAAGTCTGGAAACAGACTTAGCCATAAACGGTTAAGTATATACCAGAGACAGCACTTCAGTCCATGAGAGAAAACTCATTGTCCAGAAATGATAACTGGACAATTATGTGCTAGAAAAAGGGCTATCTTTTCCATATATATCCTTCTTATATTATGGAATCTTTAAAATTAAAGAAAAAGATAAACTTCTTTGTAGAAAATTGGGCAAAGATTATTTAAAAGATAATAGACAAAAATTGTTTAGCTGTGCTAGTAATATAAGAAATGTAAAGCCAGGTGTTGGTGGCTCATGCCTGTCATCCTAGCTACTCAGGAGGCAGAGATCAGGAGAATCACATCTCAAAGCCAGCCCAGGCAAACAGTTCTTGAGATCCTATCTCGAAAAACTCAAAAAATTGGGCTGGTGGAGTGGCTCAAGGTGAAGGCCCTGAGTTCAAGCCCCAGTACCACAAAAAAACAAAAAACAAAAAACAAAAACAAACCTAATACAAGATACTTATTGTGTCTTTTTGTTTTTAAATGATCAAACTCATAAAGGTATTAAGTTGCAATAACAACTTGTGAAGGTGTAAAGAAAATATCATCTGAAACTTGCCTGTTGCAATCTAGCAATCATAAGGAAATGATGATGTTCAACAGAAATTTTTATGTATGAAATAGTTTCTTTCTTTCTTTCTTTTTTGCTGATATGGAGTTTGAACTCAGGACCCTGTGCTTACTAGGCAGACACTCACTTGAGCCACACTCCAGCTTTTTTGCGTTTTCAGACAGGGTCTCCCCTTTTGCTGACCTAAGACCAAGATCCTCCTACCTGCATCTCCCACATAGCTAGGATGACAGATGTAAGCCACTATGCCAGGCTTATTTGTTAAAATGGGTATCATGCTAACTTTTTTTTTGGACTCAGCTGGCCTCAAATGGTAATCCTCCTGATTCAGCCTCCCAAGTAGCACAGATTACTATGCCCAGTGAAGGACACATTTTTTATATTAATGAAATACTGGGAAAAACCTAAAATAGGGGACTGGCTGTATGAGTTAGGACATATCCATGTGATTTAATACTGAATATTCACTTAAAGAACACTGGAAATGGAAATTTAACAATGCTGGAAAAATGTTCATAATGTAATCTGAAAAGAAGCAAACTACTTTCTTGGTACATGATCCTATATAGATAAAAATACATGAAAATCTAGATGGATACAGAACAAATGTTAGCAGTTGTTATTTCTATGAGGACTATTACAGGTGATTTTTACATTCTTTGTGCCTTTCTGAATTTTCTAACTTTCTATAATAAATTATATATTTAAAGTTATTTTCTAAAACAATTGGAAAGATACATTTCGAAGTTCCATTGGTTTTCTCTGACTGCCAGAATTATAAATTATGGATGATTTTTAAAATATTTTTTCTGTATTTCTCAAAAATTTCTACAAGACTGGTTTACCTTTACAAAAAAAAAAAGGAAAGAAGAAAAAAAAAGGAAAAACCATATATTCACACTATTGGTGGTTCCGTAGGAGGTTAATCCTGAAAATTAGTTAAAATACAGTGAAATATAGGCATGGACCAATTGAGAGGAGCCTACTGAAGTGCCATTAAACAGCCCTCCAGAGCAGGGGCTTGGTCTCTTCTGGGCTCTGCACTCCCCACATCTACTACACAGCATCTCAGGTGCTCAACAAATACCTGTTCTTCTGAGTGGAAAATACCACCACTACCATTCTAGAGATCTTTTCTTGCATTTTACCACCAATGCCAAGGTTCATAACAGTGGCAGTGTTGAGCATAATATCCTCATAGTGGAGTCCCAATAACCTAGAGTAACACGGTTTCAAATCTCTAAAGTGCCACAGAAAAGATTTCTGTCTAAAAAAAAAATAACTCGAGTGTAATTAACTTTGAAATACCAACAAAAAATTTCCCATTTTAGAATTTCTTTCCCTAAGTTGTTCTGTTTCTGTTTTGAGAGCCCTGGTAAAATTTTTCTGTGATATTGAAAGGTAAAAAATGGCCATAGTGCCACTCTGGCACAGTGGTATTCTTTGTAACAATCAGCTACCAAAGTCACGGAGGCTACAAGAGTAGCTGTTGGACCTCAAAACTCTAAAATTTGTAAGCATCGCACTAACAAGGGAGAAGGGCCAGAAAACTTTCACCTCTTCCCCTGGGCTGCAGAAACCAATGCTGGTTAAATGAAGTAAATTGAGTCCTTACTTCCTTCTCTTCTGTCCACATGCTCTAAACCAGAGAAAAATCATTAAGACCATACAAGACCAAATTCCAAAGAGAAAGGAAAAAGAGGAAAGTAGAAAACTAATCCTTCAAAAGCAAAAGTTGGCTGGTCATATGGAAGCAATCTGAATTATAAGCAGCTAGTCCAGTGGTGACTTAAAATACAGCTTTCTAGAATTTCTGTCTCCACAGAGCTCTGGGCATACTTTAATCTTAGCACTTAATGTATTAACTGAAACTGTCTCTACGTCGTTTTCATTAGACAAACTGAACATTTGTCAGGGATGGGGACCTTGCTTGATTTAATATCCCTGTATGAACTCATTTGCTATCGAGCACAAGCTCTTGGGCCACAGTAGGCAGATAATAAACATATCTGAATTGCTAAAATAAATGACACATTGACACTGGATGGCATTCTTGCAGAGGTAAAAGGCCAAAACTATAGTAAACCTAAGAGTCTTTACCTGAAGGGATGAAAAACAAAACTTTTTTCTTTGCAGTGCTGGGGATTGAACCCAAGGCATTGCCCTACTAGGCAATCATATGACCTTTGACATCCTTTAAGCCTAAAGGGATGAAATTTTCACAATAATGCAAATAATTCCTAAATAAAAGTTCTGAGGGGGAGAAGGAGAATTAGAGGCTTTTCAGTAGAAATAGTCCCAGTTTACACAGTTTGCTTCAAAGTCAGGAAGGGAATCTAAAGATGAGAAAGGGAAGCCACAGGTGACCATCTTCCCACCTAAAGAAGACACTTCTGAGCTTCTAGTTCATGATATGTAAATTGCTATAGTACAAAGGAAGCACTGACTTAAAACATGGCCAGACACAATCACAGAGCAATTAACAGAGGAAGAAGGGATGGGGAGGAGAACATGTGCAATGAGTTACACTCAACATCACACACATGAAATTCCACAGAGGAATAAAGTTAAATGTTTTCCCTCCTCCAAGATCCTACCTGCCTGGTAAGGGTGTGGCCAGACGATTTCACTGACAAAACATAGATATCACTCAGATCCTGACCTTCAAGTTAGGCTCCTTTTTCAAAGAGAGTTTGCAGGAAACAACCACATGTATTTACAGAGCCATCATTACACATTATTTTCTTGTTCATGCAGGGCTCTGAGAAAGCCATTCAATTTGGATGGGTAGTCTGCATTTCAAGTTGATGGGAGCTCAGAGACCAGAATGAGCCTTGTTCAATGGTTCTCAGCTCTGGCGGCACATGAGAATCACCTGGGGAGCTTTTGAAAAACACTAGTGCAGAGTCTCAACCCAAACCAATTAAATCAGAATTGCTAAGGGGGATGTCCGGACACTGTGTTTTTCTTTTTTTAAAGCTCCACAAAGAATTATCACTAATTGTTTTTCAGCATAGTAAAAGCATGTGCTGTGTTGTTGTCTTTTCTTTTTTTTTTTTTAAGTCTTTGCTAGAGATTGAAAATTTGCTTTAAAATATACTACAGGGATGGGTAGTTTTGATTTCTATGATAGGCAAAAAAGTTGATAATTATGGAAGGTTCAAGATAGATAAACAGGACTTGATTACATTAGTTGCTCTACTTTTGTGATATTTAAATTTTTCTATAATAAAAAGTTATTTTATAAAATCAGCAGAAATAAACACGTTTCCTCTCATATACACGTACATATGTATAATGTATTTGACAGAAATATTTTAAAAATACATTAAAATAAAAGCGATTCTACTGTGTGGCCAGAGTAGAGAACCACTAGGCAACATCACTGAAAGAGAGGCAACTTGATTGGGAAAATAAAGGTTTAGATAAGCAGCCAGGGTGATCCAGATGAAAAAGATTGAGCTCAGGCATGTGGCAAGATGGCACCCCGTGAGAGTGGCAGCCCTCCCCCATCAGTCACCATTTTCATCTTCTGCTACACACATTTGCCTGAATTTTGAGAATCGTCATTCAATTGCAAATGTGTATGCTTCTGTGTGTGTGTGTGTGTCTGTGTGTGTGTGTGTGTGTGTGTACATGATTTAAGACAGCACTGCTGGTTATAAGCAGTAGCAGGTATTTTTTAAAAACGCTATATGTGGAAACACTGCCTAAGACCTAACATGCTTTGGTCTGTGGAATTGTCACTCAAGGGCATTCCTCAGGAGTGGGCTGGAGGCGAGGGGTAAGGCTATGGTCTTTGGAACTAGTAAGCTTTTCATCTAGCTAAGTGATGTATGGGCAATGCTGCTTAGAGGGCCCTGAGGAAAAAGTCCTAAATCAAGTACCACCAGTGGGAATAGCTATAAAAAAAAAAAGCAACCAAAGCCTTAATGAATAGAAAATGCATCAAAACTCCCCACATTCCACTTCCAAAATCTCCAACTCACCTATTCTTCTCCATTTCATTGTGAGTTGATCTGAAAGAGGGAACAATAAGAAAATAATAAGATTATTTTTGTCTTCAAGGACTATTTCAACACCAACACAATTATTTTAACTTCTTTCTCCAAAGCTAGTAGAGAATACACAGAAAGGGAGGAAAATTCACCGGGGTCTACTAAAGAATTTAGTCCATTTGGGGAGTTAGATACATGCAAATATCTAAAATAGAGTTCAAGGAGCAGTGACATACTAAGAGGCATGCATTCCCTAGTGGAAAAGTAGTCCTTTTTAAGAAAGGGAATAAAAGGGTCTATTTATACAAAGAGAAAAACAGCTGCACAATGCAATGTGAATTTGGGTTATATAATACCACAAAGCTTTCTTTAGGCCAAGGGTAAAACAGTGGAGGTGGTACCCCTACACAACCCCTGTAGATTTTTCTAGGGTAGCATATGCCAAAATTTTATCAGGTGTTTGACTATAATATGCAGTTTTAAATGATAAAATAACTCCCCTCCCCAATCTTTCCACTCCTTGATTAACTACCTTATATACAACCTCCTAAAAATGGCTATTGCTGAATAGCTACCAAATCATTTTAGGAAGGAGTTTCCAAAATTCAGCTTGACATAAAGACTGGTTAAAGCAGAAGCTAGGGTGAAAACTCAAGTCTAGCTTTGCCACTGACTAGTACTTTAGGCAAAATAAAATTTTTAGCATCCTGTCCTTGGTTAACCCCTCTGTAAAACAGGAATAAAAATAATTGCCAATAACCTACTGAACAAGCATGGATCAATGAGGTAGCAACTGTAAAAGTGATTAGAGAGCTTTGGATGAAAGGTGTGGTGGATGTAGAATCATATTATTAGCATGTTCATAGCTGACCTTGAAGATCCATCTGGTCTACAACTTTATGGACAGGTTTCCATAAAGTCACAAGAAGTCAGCCAATGTGGCCCCTTCAGTGTCCTCCTCACACCACTCCTCTCCTCTCTAACCAGTTATGAATTTGAAGAAACTCCTAGCCACAGAAAGGAGCTGAATCTTGACCTTTCTTATGGGAATTCTCTGGAATCTAGGTAGCTCAGGAGTTAACTCCCCAGTTCAGGTCATGAATTCTGTGACCATAATCAGTACCTTACTAGGAGATAAATTCTCATAGTAATCACAGAGGAATACTACCCTGACATTTACATCATCAATACCATCAGCACCACCACCAACTTCAATCATACCACATACAGGAGATAGAGGGAATGTGTGTGTCTGTATGTGGGCAGAGGATTGTCTTCAAATGGGAAATTTATAGCCTAGTACTAAAATTTCTCTTTTATAAGGTCCTTGGAAAATCAGTATTTTCCATGAGAAAATAGTATTTTAAGTCTTAGAATATTTGTTTTCTAAGTAAATGTTATGTGGACCTCTAAGTTGGTTAACTTAAAGGTTTTCAATTGATTCACTTGCTGATCCATCAGCTGTCTTCAGTAACATTTTTCTGAAGGTTTACTTCCTTCAGTGGCCAGCAGGATGCCACAGTGAACAAGAACCTTGCCTGGACTGCAAACCTTTGGCTTGAAAACACGTGGCATTTTACCTTTAACTGGGAATAATAAGTTCAAAGTCTGACAGATTTTTAAATGGATGAAAGTATATAACTACAGCTGGTCAAGACTGCCCTGTTTAACTGCAGAAAAGGAGAAAAAGGTGACTAGGTAGAAAATTAGAGCACACCTGGTACTCTTACCAAAAAAATTCTGCATTCTTTAAAGAGATACAGATAGAATGATAGATTTACATTTATATAAAATTCTGAATCCCCAAGATAAACTTTTATACAAATTCCATAGGAAGCACAACAATTTCCAAACTTTGATCAGAGTTTTAAAATCTAGAAACTAGATTTTATTTGATTCCTGAAGAATATTGAATACATGGTGCTTTTTAAAGGGGGCTTCTACCTAATTGCTAGGATATTACCATTTGGTTGTTGAAACTGACTTAGACACTAATAAAAAAAAAAAAAACAGGCCTTTCAAAGGTGATTAGGTCAGAGATGGCCTGCTACCTCCACTGATGGGTAAAAAAATATTTATATACATATACATAATATATATGTATATATATTTTGGGGGGTTTGAACTCCCGGCCTTTTTTGCTTCCTAGGCAGGCAAAAATATATTTTTAATTAAATCATTATAAGAATACATAGATACCTTATGTTAAAACTACTTCCCGTGTGATTATTGGAGATTTGATAATTCTGGAGTCACCAACAAAGATCAAATCTCACCACTTAAATGTACACTCTAATAAAAAGATAACTAAATCATTTGCAGCATGTCTGGGAAATGGGAAAAGTCCATGTGTTCAAAAAGACTCCTATATAAGGCCAGCCTTATGGCTATTATAAGAGAACTTGGTGGTCAAATCTTGAGCTTCCTCTTTCACATGCGTGCTAGCCTGCTTTACTAACAACCAAGTACACTTAAAAAGCTTTAGTTGGGGGTGGCTCATGCCTGTAATCCCAACTACTTGGGGGCACAGATCCAGAGGATCATGGTTTGAGGTCAGCCTGAGCAAAAAGTGAGACCCCATCTCAATCAATAAAACTGGGTATAGTGGTACATGCCTATGAACCCAGCTATGAGGGAAGTCATAGGTAGAAGGATCATAATCTGAGGCTGGCCACTGCAAAAAGCGAGACTCTACATGGAAAAATAACTAAGTGATTTAAAAAGATCATAGGAAGAAGAAAAGATTCCATTTTTCTGTATTCCAATAGTTCTCTGGGTGATCCCATGGAACTAAAATTTACTATTTCATTTGTTTTAGTTTTCTGGAGTTTTTAAGTAAACTGAATTTTTAGTTCCCAAGAAGTTTGATGTAATGGCTCTTATTTTTTTTTTTTTTCCAAAGTAAAGTATGCCCTCAGACTCTACAAAGAGCACAGCATTTTACCCTAAATAAACAGGAATAAACTGTTATCCAAGAGTTCTGTTGAGCAGCAATAACCTTTCCCTAGCCCTCACCTCAGTTTAGAACCTTGATATAAGGCTAAGTGTAAGCAAGGGTCAAACTGCTTTCTCTGTGGAAACTTCTTACTCTCAGGTGAGCGACATTCCAAACAGGTCATGAAGGAAACGATCACATTTAAATAAGAATGCCTGCTCTGACGTCATGTTTCCTTCTTGCCATCTCCCAAGTGTGATCATGGTCTCTAGAGAACCTTATACTACTTCATGTATTATGCTAATTCACTGTTAGTCAAGTATGTGCACAAATGGGATAGCCCCCTGTCTCTAAACATGGCAACAGAAGTAATAGAGCTTACAGCTGGTGGAGTGGCTCAGGTGGTAGAGTGCCTGCCTAGTAAGCCCAAGTCCCTGAGTTCAAGCCCCAGTATTACACATACACACAAAAAAAGAAGTGATAGGGCTTTTCTAGAAACCAAGAATTGTAGCACTTTTCAGAAACAAGAGGAAGAATCCATTTCTTTGTTTGCAATTTTCAAGTGTCTTTATTTTTCTAATCATCTTTTGAGACCAAATCACTTCTCTTCACCAATATTTCCTTTTCTATTCCCACCTTCTAATATCCCCCTCACAACCTTCCTATGAAACTTAAGAAAAAATAAAGTGTTACAGTATTAAGCCTGAACAATCCTTCTCAAATCATGCACAAGAGTAAAAGCAAAAGTGGAATAAACTTTCCAAGAAGGATAAACTGAAAAACCTCAAAGTTCTTAACAAAAATTGAAAATGAAAACTTAATACTGTAGCAAAATGCAACAAAGCTTGTTTTAATATTCTTACAAAATACAAGTCAGTAGGGCTTTAGTACCCATGCATAGAACTATTGGCTATCACCTTTTGGGTTATGCTAAGATGGGAGGACAAGGAAAAATCCACCAGGTAATAACCAGGTTCATCCTTCATGTGAATTCTTAGTCAAGAGTGTGGCACAAGTATGCTGCTCATATCCTGTGAGTCCACTAACACCAACCCCATGAGGTGACTCAAGGACGGAAGAGGTAACAAGAACAAGTGAGTTTTAGGTTTAAGTGTGAGCTTCCTGGTGTTTAGTGATCTGTATTAAGCCACAGTGGCTATCCATCTAGTTACTTGGCAGGAGTTACCATGAGAATGAGGGAAGGATTACGATTCTAAACCAGTGATGAAGATGTCAATGATTTTAATTTACTGGTATGAAAACTATAGTTGAATGGATTTAGTAAAACACATTGCCTAGCCAACTAATATTTTCAGGACAAAGAGGGAGACAAAAGGGGCAATAACATTGATGGAATATTTATATACACTAGGAACTGTGCTTAGGACTTTATTATGCGATTTCACTGACCATTAACCAAATACTTTTCAGTGAGATTCACAGTTTTTAAGAACTGTAAGGCAATCTAAGGGACTAATATGAAAAGGTTATAACATATCAATGTTTTTATATTATCTGTTCCTCCATCACCAGAAAGGTAGATTTTAACTTCCATCATTCCTCTTTGCCATTATAAATACAAATGTGACAAATTAGGTAAACAGAGAAACCACTGTATTTAATTTATATGTTAAATGTAAAATCCTACCATCTAGGCCAAATCAGATCCTTTAATGTTTATAAAAGCTTTGCTATAAAAACTAAAAGAATTTTCTAGCACTTTGTTTGTTTGTTTTTTTCTTAGTGGTACTGGGGCTTGAACTCAGGGACCCACACTTGTTAGGCTTTGCTAGGCAGGTGCTCTATCACTTGAGCCACTCCACCAACCCCTTCCAGCACTTTTGAATTACAGAAAACATGCCCTGAATCTGCAACTTCAGAAGACAAAATATCATCAGTATTGCTAATCTCATTCGAGACTTCTGCAGATTTTTTTCAGAAGGAATGAAAAATCAAATTTTAAAAAGTTCATAAAGAACTGTAAGACATTCCTATTCTTGTCCTTTCAGTCCCTCAACTTGAACAGAAAGGCTGCTTCCTCCAAAGGCTTAAGATCGTGTGAGCGTACTGAATCATGACCGCCACTTCATGTATTTACGGGGTTACAATCACAACAGGCAGCTTACGCGATGCCATCTGTGTTACCTGGAGTATGTTCTAAAAGAGAAAGAAATAGTTACCAAATTACCTGCTGCTGCTGCTGTTCTTCTTGGATTTGTTCCTCCGTTTGAAGGCATCTCTGTCCTTGTTATTGTATGGTAACATGGAGGCATAACCATGCTCAGCTTCTAGAAAACCGGAGAATCCAGTTAATGAATGAGCCGAGAGCATTTAACGCTCTGTCCCCGTCACCGTGCCTCCTGTCTCACGTATTTATCTACCTTTTAAAAGAACACTACTGAAGTGGCTACACGGCGTGAGATGGAATTCTGAGAACAATGATTTTTTTAACCATGTGAACACCCTCGGTTCGGAGCAGGTGTCGGAGGATTCCAGCTGCTCATTGTTGACAACGACAGCAAGTGGCCGAGCTGGCCAGCCTGGCTTTCCCACTGGCCACGTCCCGCAGGTCGGGCTCGGCGGGACCGGCCGCGGGAGAAGGTGCCGGCAGACACGCGAGCCGGGGAGCGGCGCCGGAGGCGGGACCGCTCAGGTGAGGAAAGCCGGGGGGCAGCCAAGAGCCCCCGTTCATGGCTTTTGGGGCCGCAGCGGCCTCCTTTTGGAGCGCGCATGGGGAGCGCTGGAGGGGTTGGGAGCGCTCGCGGCACGCTCTCGGCGCCCCCAACCACCCGCCGCAGAGGCGAGGCGAGGCGCTCCGATCCGCAGCCCAGCCCCTCAGGACCCCCGGCCCCGAATGGGGCCAGACTCCTCCCCGTTCCCGTGCACCTCTCTCCCGCCGCTCCAGATAGTCGGCCGCCTCCAGCAGCATCTGGATGTTCATCCGAACCGCCGCCGCCATTCTGCACCGGGGGCCGGAGCCACGGGACCAACCCCCACTGTCCACGGGCTCGCCTTCGCCGCCGGACACCCGCGCCCCTCTGTAGACCTGCTCCGTGGAGCAGGGCTGAAGAAGCCTCTCTGATGACTACACTCGCCGGGAGGGGGGAGGGGGCCAGTAAGCTGGGTACAGCCGACACTGTGACAGAACCCCAAGCGGAGCAGCAGCCGCCACCGCCGCGGAGTGTTTATCTCCGACTCACCATCCCCCCGCCCCCAGCCCCTTCTCTTGACAGGCCCGCTTCAGCTGCCTTCCTCATTGGACACCCCAAACAATGCCCCTCCCCTGGCCTTGTGCGATTGGGAGAGGGACCTATAGGCCCACCCCCTAAAGTCCGCTCCTCTCTCTGGTTGGCCACACTTGACAAGGCCCGGGCTCCACCCCCTCTCTCCAATTGGTGACAGGATTCGCAACTCCGCCTCGTGCTTCTTCCGTTTTCCATTGGTTCAATACCGACAACCGGGCCCCCTTTTGCTTTGTTAGTATTGGCCAAGAGCTGTAGAAGGCAAGCCACTTCATCTGCGTCCCATTGGTGGATTCTTCAGAAACCTCCCAGCTGCGATGATGTCACCTTGCTCCAGGCCCAGAGAACCGTGAGCGGCGGGTGGTCAGCAGCCCGGCTACTACTCCCCAGGTCCAGCACAGGCTGGGAGGACAGGCCTGGCAGCTGGGCGGCGCTGATTCACCCGCCGCCTCGGAGCTGGGCTCCATCCGGCCTTGCCTCGGACCTGTTGCCAGACCTATCTCCCGGGAAAACTTCCGGGACCTGACAGGCACCCCTCGAATGAAAGGCTGGCCGCTCGCGTCCTCTGGGCGCCCTGCCCCACTGTGTTAGGGCTGGGGCCCTGGGTCTGCTGTCCACGGCCTCCACGGCTCCGGGTTCCTGGCGACCTAGCGCCCCATCGCGCATCCTCCTGCACCGACCTGAGCCCTGCATCCTGGGCCGGAATCCGGCTGCAGTGTACAGCCCTGGCTCGCCAAAGGCGCTCCTTCCCTCCTCCCCAAGTGATGGCAGAATTAATTACCCTCTCACACGACTGCGTTTTGAAAGGTCAGAAATTTCTTGTACTGCAGAATAAAGCTGAACCCCAAGATTCTTTAGACTGTAATCAGCTTTAGGGTCTTTCCCTTCAATTCTAAATTAAAATATTAAAAAGAATGCCTCCTTTCCACAATAGCTGCAAATGGTTATTTTTGTGTGTAATGGGCCGGGGGGATGCTTACTTAGTCTATAGAATATTACCTATACAGAACCAAAAGTTTAAGATTTTTCCCTCAAGCTATCAAGATTTTGAAATAAAAGCTCTTGGGAGCCAAGCTGCATTGTTCATATACTGACATCTCCAAAAGCCATTGGTAAGTTCAAAGTCCTCCAAACTGAAACGAGTAAAGCACAACATTTTAAAATAAAATATATTATTGAAAATATATGATAATAGCTCTCTCTTGTCAGGTAACTTACCTACATTATGCACAAGAAACAGGCCCATAGAGGCTAAATAACTTCCCTTTTCCATTCAGCCAGACATGGAACTGAATCTAGATCTGCTTCACCCAGAGCCCAGAATACCAATCTGGTTAATAGTTATACTAAAGACATAGCAGAGAAACAGGTTTCCAGACAAGTCACAGACACTCAAATCCTGGGTAAAAAGAAAGCAATGGGCTAGGGGGAGGTAGCTCAACAGTACAGGGCTTGCCTAGCATGTGCAAGGCCCTGGGCTCAATCCCCAGCACCACAAAAACAAAAAGAAACCCAAAAAACAGGGTAAATAGGAAATTTAAAAAGTGGTCTTTTTTAATGGTTTACAAATCCATTAAAATTAAATAAATTGATCAAAATAAGTAACATAAACATGTAGAAAGCCATGCTGACTATATGGTTTTAATGTTTAATTGGATCTAAAGCTAGTTCTTTTCATATGAAAACACTAGTTAAACACACACACTGAAGGTAAAACTTTTCATGAAGGCACCAAGTTAGAAATGAGAATGGGGAGATAACAGTTTTACAGAGTAATTTCCATTGCATGTTATTTGTAAAATTAGAGTCAATGAAAAGCATGCAATTCTACTAACGTGCCCAATCTGGTATTACTAGAAATACTTTGTGTCAGTGTCTTAATATTTTGGATCTTGTATATTCTTTACATTTTCTCTTAGGTTGCATTGTGACCATTTGGAAAGCATTATTTAACTTATTTGATTATTTACTGGTATGGGTGTTTGAACTTAGGGACTCAGGCTTCCACTGTACTACTTGAGCCACATCCCCAGTCCTCCCTATGAAGGGAGGCATATCCCTTTATTCTTTCTCACTTTCTATTCTCATGACCATTCCCCTAGAATCAACCTGATTGAAAAATAGAATTTTTTAAAAGGAGATTGGGGAGAGGGGTGTTTGAAATCTGAGTCCAAACCAGCAAGTAGACAATTTAAGCATACACAGTCTAGCTTAAACTTCAAACAAAGACACAAAGTTATATAAACATCAGAGAGTAAGACTAAAGAGCACACCATTTTCCTTCCCTGGAAGAAATGGTCAATTAGCCATCAACACCAATTGGAATTAGTATATTGAACTTCAAAGTGTATTTGGTGCCATCTACTGGAAGTAAAGCAGTAAGCAGAAAACAAAGTACATAACTCACATGTTTAGGCTGCTTATTTTGTTGTTCTTTCAAAGACACCTAGTCCCTAATGCCTCAAAGGCATGAGCTGATTGATAGACAGACTTTACACCCCCCAAAATATGAGAATTCTAGAATGTTTGAACCTTGGGTTTATGACAAGAATTTTAAATAAAAAGCTATGTGTAACAGCATAAACATGAGATGAAAATAGTTTATACACTTTAGCATACATCAAGATAAAACATAGACCTAAGTACAGTGGAAAATAGAAAAATACAAAGACATAAAATATTATACTTAATAGATAATCCTTACTGAGTATCTCAGAAAGCTAAGATGCAGTCTCCTCCTTCTCTAGGGGCTTATCCTCAGGGTGGGCATAAAACAGTACTGTGAATGTTAATGCCAATAGTGAGCAGCAGGTTCATTGCATGCTATGGGAATTCTGATCAAGAGATGTTGCTTCAGTGAGTGCCTCAGAATAATTATCACTCACAATCCTGAAGTGTCTAAAAAGTTCTAAAACTGTGGGAATTAAAGTCCCTCTATTTGTAACTGAGTTTGACACTTCCTAACCACTATGGCATTAAAATGAATTTTGTTTTTTTAAGTTTTTGAAGAATTGATTTTATTCTTAAGTGTAAAAAAATCAGAACTGTAAGTTTCTGCTTTAATATTAATCTCCTTCTTTCTTTGTGACTATTTTGGACACTCCAATATCATGACATCCACAATCATGATATTAAGTTTTAAAATCTTTTAAAACTCTCCTTTGCAAAAATTGTGATTTTAAAACAGGTCAATGGGTAAACTCTGATCTATAATTACACAAAACACAATGTAGCAAGTTTTTGTTGTTTCTTTTTTAAAGGTAGACTTAAGTTTATAACTATGGTACAGAAAGATCTACAAATCACCATGTTGAGTAAATAATTAAAGGATCACTACATATTTTTTAAAAGGTCTTTTACAAGAAAATTGTATCCATTTATTACATGGATACAATTATGGATAATTAAAGGTCAAAATAAAAGCCAGGGAAGTGAAAAGTGAATAGTGCATGGTTCTGTTTACATGAAACATCCAGAAGAGGTAGTAGTAGTTTCCATGGGCAGGGGTTGTAGGGGACAAGAAATGATTACTACTGGGTATAGGGTTTCTTTTTTGGGACAACAAAAATGTTCTAGAATTAGATAGTGACAATGGATGCATAACTTTGTGAATATACTAAAAAACATTGAAATGTAAACCTCAAACGAGTAAATCGTATGGTATGCGAATTTTACCTCAATTTTTTTACATTAACAAAAAAAAGCAGCAGAAAGGCATAGAGAGGGAAGGAAGATTGATATTTCTGTTAGGGTGGATCAAAAATGACTTTAGTCTGAGTAGAAAGAGACCTGAACAATGTAAAGAAGCTACCCATGCAAATCTAGGAGGTGGGGGAAAGTTCCAGAAGAAAGGAAAAGTAGAAAAACTCTGGAGGGAGACACATGCCTGTTCTCAAAGAGCACAGAAGAGGATGGCCAACGTGGTTGAGTGAAGTGAGCAAGAGGGTACAGCTGTGGGAGGCCAGAGTCTATATCATGTAGAGAATTGTAGACCACAGTAAAATGGATTTTATTCTAAATGATATAAAAAAAAATCCACTAGAGCCAAGAGAAATGTGTCCTGATACACATTTTATAAGGTAATTTCTGCTGCATGGGTGGAGAATAAACAGGTAGGGGAAAGAGTGGAAAGACAGAACCTATTAGAAGGTTATTGCAATAGTCAAGGCAGGAGAGATGGTTTGAATTGGTATAGGTAGTTGGAGAAGTAGTCTGATTCAAAATATCAAAACGATTTGCAAATGAATCAGATGTGGACATGAAAGACACAGAGGAGTCAAGAATGACCTAGGGATTTTGTTCTGAATGAAGTACATGAAATGGCCATTTACTGAGAAAGACAGTAGGCAGGGAAATGAGAATAAAGTTCAGTTCATCTTAAATTTGAAGTGCCTAATAATTTGGGTGCATATACAAGACTGTAATTCAGTAAAATACATTTGAGAGCCATGGCAGAAGATATGTGAAGTCACATGACTCACCAGGGCAGAGTGGAGAGTTTGACTAGGGTATGCTAACATTTAGATACTTGGAAACACAAGATTTGGCACAATTTATATCCTCTGTAAGACAGCAGCTTGTTAGAGGAAGAAGACAAGGATGTTCCACCATTGTTACACTTCCAGAATTAGATGGTAAACTAAAGACTTCTTTCTTCTAGATCAGAGGTTTTCTCTCTAGATTTTCAAAGCTTCCTGTTTTCCTTTACCTTTAGTGTTAGCTCTAGGATAACAAACTTACTGATCTGCCAGGTTCTCTCAAATGATCTGTTTACAAAGTATGCTTCCTTAAGGATCTTAAGTCAAATCTCTACCAATACGACACTGATAAAATGACAATCCAAAAACATATAATTTGGCTTGGGATATAGAATTTTATTTTAGAAGATCTGGCTTCCTTAATAAAACAATTAGGTCTGCACAAATTTGATCAAAACAGTCCTTGTCATGGATAAATTACAAATACATGGTATTTTGGTGGTGGAGACATGGGGGACTATGTAGCTTGGTTGGCAGAAAGTCTACACAAAATACGCAAATGCCTAGAGTGGTGACACTGTGCAGTGGGTACTTCAAGTTGTGAAATGGATTACAGCACATTCAAATATTTCAACACTTAGGTGGTAGGTAGTATAACCATCAAGAGTTTCTGCCTTTATGCTCTGAAGAATCTCAGCCTTCTCCTCTGGGAACTAGAGATAATAGTACCAACTCTATCTCATAAGGACTGAGTGGACTAAGGTGCCATATATACTGAAGCATATTATTTTCTTTATAGGGAACTAAGCTATCTGGAAATTCTATCAGAATAGGTGGTCAAATTTCAGATGTAGTAAGGATTTAAAAAATCTAGCAAAAGATTTGTAAAATCATGTGTGTATGATAATTGTTACAGAATTATTTAAAATAGCAAAAGACAAGAAATAATTTGAATGTTCATTAACAGAGGATAACATTCTATGCTACAATGGACTACTGCCTTTAAAAAAAGGCAATTTTACATGTACAGGAAATAAACTTGAGATGTACTAGTAAGTGAACAAAGACTAGGTGAAGAGCAGTATGTATAGTTTACTTCTATTTGAAGAATAAGATATATAGATGTATATATAGATGTTTGAGGATGTCATGGGATATCTGGTTTTTGAGACAGGGTCTTTCTTGTAGCCCAGGCTGGCCTTAAATTCATTAAGTAGCCAAGACTAGCTATGAGCTTGGGGTCCTCCTGCCTCTCTCTGCCTCATAAGTTTTGGGATTACAGTTGTGCCCCACCATGTACAGACATGTATGGGATATTTCTGAATAGACACACAATTAACCCATAACTAGATAAACTTCATAATATCTGAACTGTGTTCCGTGTATTTGTAGTAGCCATTCAAAAACAATTAAAATTAAAATCTACCTACAGATCCTCAAATACCACCCATTTTATGAAAAAGAATGAATAAATGGTTATTATTTTCAATGAAGAGAGAGCTTTTGGGTTCAAGTGGTAGAGTACCTGCCTAGCAAGCAGGAAGTGGTGAGTTCAAATCTCAGTACTGCTAGAGAAAGAACGGGAAAAAAGAAGTTTGCCAAAAGACAAGATCCAAGATATGGAAATAGCATTTTACAATAGAAATACCATATAGCTAATACATTTAAAAAATATCCTCTCAGGATAATAAGCAAAATAAAGCCAGATATTATTACTTTATCCATCAGATAGAAAACAAAAAAATTATTACATATGCTATTTATGCATGCACATAAAATGGGAATGCTAATGTTTTACTGTGAGAGTTGGTTTTTACCTTTTAGCCATATAAATCAAAAACCTTAAAACATATCCATTTATCGCTCATTCACATCTAAGAACTGAGCCTGAGGATTAGGCTCAGTTCTTAAATAAAAAATATACAAGGAATTGCCTAGGAAGCACAAAATCCTGAGTTTGAACCCCAATACTGCAAAGGGAGGGAGGGAGGGAAGGAAGGAGGAAAGGAGGGAGGGAGAGAGAGAGGGAGGGAGGAAGGGAGGGAGAGAGAGAGGGAGAGGGAGAGAGAGAGGGAGGGAGGAAGGAAGGAAAGCATGTATGTGTGTGTAAGTCATGGGAGACGAGCCAAAGTTCACTACTAAGGGACTGGTTATAAAATAGCTATTAAATTCTAAGTTTCTAAAGAATATTTAAGAGTATTAAAACAATGTTCACAGCACATGAGGAAAAAGGGTTAAAAGAAAACTATATATACATTTTCACTTCATGGCTGTGGGGAGACATGGGAACCTTTTTGGAAAGCTATATACCAAAATGTTTATTATTGATTATTTCTAAGAGTAGATTATAGGTAATTTTTGGCTTTACTTTTTATATCTTCCAAGGTGTTTTTTAATAGTAAGCATGTACTGCTTTTATAACTGGTGTAAAAATGACAAATGGTATTGGGGGGGTGGATAAACAGAAAATACAAAAATCTAGAGGTATTTTTTTCGTACTGTTAATTTTTAAACTATTAAGAATCAAGGTACCTGAATTTACATGTGAAAAAGAAAATGTCTAGAGACACTCTTAGTAATAAAATATTTATCAAATATAAAATGGGTAGAATATTGCTTTATTGGAGAAACTCACATCCAAATTACTTTTTTTTTTTTTAAAAAGTCCTAACAAACATCCAAGAAGAAAACACATACAGCTTCCATAGGAATAAGGACAACAAAATGGGGTTGATGATTACCCCAAATAATATCTCCTAAAAAAAAAAAAAAGTAAAATTTTATCTATCTTCTTTTGAGGAAAGGTAAGTGGTAAGTGAACTGTGTATGTCATAAATAAGATTCTCTTACTTTACAAGAAGGAAGAATTCAGATCCTGGGAAGAATTCAGATCCTGTTTTTGATTCATATTAAATACAAAATACAAAATCCACTCTCTGACCAAGATGAGGGGAAAAAAATCATTCTTCCACATTTCAATTCTCATGCAATAAAATCCAAAGGTCTGTTGAATCCACCTTTTCGATTCATGTATTGCCTATGAGAAGAGAAAACTCATTATTATTATTTTTTTTAAATCTAGACTTCTCTTATTAAAAAACAAACAAACAAACAAACATACTTCAGAGAGCCATCTTTAAAATGGTAAAGTCTTATTAGATCAAGGGCAAACACAACAAGGGGATTGGACTATGAGCACATGATAAAAGCGAGAGCACACAAGGGAGGGGTGAGGATAGGTAAGACACCTAAAAAACTAGCTAGCATTTGTTGCCCTTAATGCAGAGAAACTAAAGCAGATACCTTAAAGCAACTGAGGCCAATAGGAAAAGGGGACCAGGAACTAGAGAAAAGGTTAGATCAAAAAGAATTAACCTAGAAGGTAACACCCACGCACAGGAAATCAATGTGAGTCAATGCCCTGTATAGCTATCCTTATCTCAACCAGCAAAACCCCTTGTTCCTTCCTATTATTGCTTATACTCTCTCTACAACAAAATTAGAGATAAGGGCAAAATAGTTTCTGCTGGGTATTGAGAGGGGGGGAGCGGGAGGGGGTGGAGTGGGTGGTAAGGGAGGGGGTGGGGGCAGGGGGGAGAAATGAACCAAGCCTTGTATGCACATATGAATAATAAAAGAAAAAAAAAAAAAAAGAAAGAAAAAAAAGAAAAAAAAAATAAATAAAATGGTAAAGTCTCTGCCAGATGCATGCCTGTAATCCCAGTATTTGGGAGGCTAGGGCAGGAAAATGGAGCCTAGGATACACAGGAAGACACTTTCTGAGATGGGGTGGGGGAGGCAAAGTCTAGGCTAGAAACCATTTGAGTTTTTTTTTTTTTTTTTTTGATACATATTAAGAAGAGATTATTTAGGCCAGGCACTGTGGCCCATGCCTGTGATCCTGGCTAGCTACTTGATAAGTAGATGATCACAATTTGAGTAGCCCAGGCAAAAAGTCTGCAAGACTTTATCTCAACCAATGGCTGGGTGCCGTGGTGTGTGCCTGTCATCCCAGCTACTATGGGAAAACACAAATAGGATGGTGGTCCTGGTTGTCCAGGCATAAAGCAAACCCTAACTAAAAAATAAAGCAAAATGGGCTGGGGGTGTGACTAGCACCTGCCTAGCAATTGCGGGGCCCCAAGTTCAACTCCCAGTGCTGTGAGATTATCTTACTTTTCTTTTTTTCTCTTTTTCTTGGAGGGGCAGAGGGCATGGATACTAGGCAAGCACTCTATCACTAAATTATACCTGTCCACAGTTCATATTTTACTTTTAAAACAAGCCAAAGCCTTTTAGACTTCTTTAAACTCCAAACTGCGGTATGGAAACACACTTTCAAAATTATTTGGGAAGATTTTACAGGCTTAAAAAAAATGAACTGAAAATCCATATTTACTTTAGGTAACACTGAACACTTTAAGGAAATAGAGAGGAATTCCAAAATAGGTGCCCATCAAACAAATTCAATTGCACATTGTAATGGTTCTCCCCTTAAGTCCTTATTTGAAGGAAATTTTAGGGATCACTGTCTGTGATGATTCTAGTATCTTAGCTTAGAATCTCAAATCACATTACTCCTTAGCTCAAAGTCTCAAATCACATTGGAGAGAAAGTTAACATGTGGACGTATCTTTTTTTTTTTTTTTTTTTGCGGTACTGGGACTTGAACTCCTCCACCAGCCTTTTTTCGTAATGGGTTTTTCCAAGATAGGCTCTCACGAACTATTTGCCTGGGCTAGCTTCAAATAGCCTCCTGAATAGCTCGGATTACAGGCATGGGCCACTGGCACCGGGCTTGAACATGTCTTTTTAAATCACTAAGAATTCAATGAGATTTTAAGTCTGGATTGGTTTATCCCAAATCTATGATACAAAGAAAATATACCTATACTTAACAGACAAATATATTTATATAGTTTAAATCTTTACATAATCCATCTAGGTAAACAGTTCAGAAGGGATCTAGTTTAAACCTTTAATTATAGTGAAATCAAAACCTAAAGACTTGAAGTTACACTATTTGTTTATGTACATGGTTTTGATATGTAGCCCAGGCTGGCCTTGAACTCTTGACCTTACCTAAGCTCCTAGAGTGCTGAAATTATAGGCATATGCCACCATGTCTGGCCTGCAATTCTGTTTTACTGAGGAATTTAGTTGTTTATAGCCTTAAAACACTTAAGCTGGGCTGACTGAGGGGCTCAAGCAGTAAGAGCAAAAGCATGAGGCCCTGATTTCAAACTTAGTACTGATAAAAAAAAAAAAAAAAAAACAGCCTGGCACTGATGGCTTATGCCTAGCAACTCTGGAGACAAAGATCAGGAGAATCACAGTTCGAAACCAGTCCAGGCAAATAGTTCAAGAGAACCTATCTTGGGGAAAAAAAAAAAAAATCACAGAAAAGGGCTGGTGGAGTGGCTCAAGGTGTAGGCCCAGAGTTCAAACCCAGTACCGCAAAAAAAAAAAAAAAAAAAAGAAAAACAACTACCTTCTTTCTAATAGCCATTTGCTTTACATGTAAAATGGAATACAAGCAAGGAATACAATACTTCATTAAAATACCAAGGTATGGAGAACTGCTATATGTCCTAAACAAACGTGATTATCCCATAATAAAATCCTTTTCCAACCATGAAATTGATTTGAGTTCAAGCATAATAAAGAGGGCTATACATACCTGTATTTCCTCTTCTGAGACACGTTTATGGCATAGGCATTTACAGAGCCATCTACCTTCTTCCCCTGGAGAAAATCAATAAACAGAAAAACAGGAAGAACACATTATTACATGGATACACAGAAGTGGTAAGAACCATTTAAAGAAAAGACAGCCCAATGAGGGAGACAGAATTTGCAGATTCTCATAATATCCCATGAACTCTCAAGAACTACAATTCTGCTCATATTTTTATAGTCATATGCAGGAATCAATACAATGTTCAAATTAACAAACATTCATGGTATATATTATGTACAAGGCACATGAAAAAATAGAGCAGCAAATTCTAAACTTTTTTGGTCAAAGAATCCTTTGAAACTAGATAAAAGTTGTGAATATTATCTCCAGAAAAATTCACATTCACACAAAATTTAACCTTAGCATATAATATTCTCAAATCATAGAACAGTTTTCTATGTATCTAAATTCCATTTCTTACCCAGATGACTACCATTTCCATGTTTAAATCAGGAATCAGAATACTGACTAACAAACACTCAAGTTAGGTTATCTCTTGCCTTTCTAAATGTGGTAACTACTCTCTTTTTCACTCATCCTTTTTATAGCCTTTTGATCCAGCCATAACCATTTGTCCCCACGCTGTTCCTCAGGCTTGAATTACATTCCCTGCCCCCATCCAATCTTCAAATATCTGGTTGTTCAAGAGCCAATTCAAAAGATACAGATATGGTTCAAGTGGCAGAGCATCTGCCTACTGCCTACTTATCCTAGTGAAGTCCTACGTTCAAACCCCAGAGCTGCCAAAAATAAAACAAAACAAAGTTCCCACAATAGGGCTAAGTGTATAGTTCAATAGTAGAATACTTGCCTAGCAGGTGAAAGGCCCTGGGTTAGATCCCCATCACAGGAAGGGAGGAAAAAAGAAAAAAGAGAAGAGGGCAAAGGGTGTGGCTCAAGGTATAGAATATTTGCCTAGTAAGCATGAGGCCCTAAGTTCAAAAACAAGAAAGAAAGAAAGAAAGAAAGGCCAGGCATGGTGACTCATGTCTATAATCCTAGCTATTCGGGGGGCAAAGATTACAAGGATTGAAGTTTGAGGCCAGCCCAAGCTAAAACTTCTCGAGACCCCCCCATCTCAACTTATAAAAGCTGGGAGTGGTGATACACACTGATGCTGTCATCCCAGCCACACGGGAAGCATAAACAGGAGGATCTCAATCTGGGCCACCTTGACATAAACTCTAGACTGTATCTTACAAATAACCAAAGCAGCCAGGTGCCAGTGGCTCAGGATGGTAATCCTAGCTACTCAGGAGACAGAGATAGCAGGATTACAGTTTGAAACCAGTCTGGGCAAATAGTTTGTGACACCTTACCTCGAAAAAAACCCATCACAAAAAAAGGGCTTGTGGAGTGGCTCAAGGTGTAGGCCCTGAGTTCCAAACACTACTACAAAGAAAAAAAGAAAAAGCACAGCAAAAAGGGGACTAGGGATGTGGCTCAAGTGCAAGTTGCAAGGCCCTGAGTTCAAGCTCCAACACTGACAAAAAATTTTTTAAAAAGAAACAACAGGTTCCACAATAATCAATGAGCTAAGAGACTTTGTAACTGATAGCCATGAAGCCAAGTGCACAGAACTACATGACCCTTGTAGGGTCATTAGAAACAACTGACATGGGGCTGAACTATATAGCTCAGTGGAAGAGAGATTACCTAGCATGCATTGGGGCCCTAGGTTCCATCTTTAGCACTGCAAAAGACAAAAATGAACGAACCAAAAACTCCACAGAAACAATCAACATTTCTTGATTACATAGCTCTCCATAATTTTTATAGGATCTATCATTTCTCATCTAATTTCTCCTTTATAAGCAAACATCTTCAGCACCGATTAAAAGCAAAGGGTTTGTGGGCTGGAGGTGTGGCTCAAGGGGTAGAGTGCCTGCCGAGAAAATTCAAGACCCCAAGTTCAAACCTCAATACCACCCAAAACAAAACAAAGTTGCTCCACCCTAACCCTCAGGAACATGAAATATAAATCAGGCAATTGTAACACCAAAAAACAACAACAACAACAAAAAAAACCAAACAAACAAGAAAGTAATTCTATAAATTCCCTTTCTATTCTTCTAAAAACAATAAAATCATAATTGCTTCACTCTGGAGATATTTTTATTCAAACAACATATAAATATTTTACTTATAAAACACTCTTTAGAAAAAAACAAAGACTTAAGCATATTCAAGGGAGAAAAAGCTGATACATAAATAGCATTAAATTCCATAATTAGGATTTATGTAACCACTGCAAGAACAAGAGCTCATTCTTAATTTTCTGAGTTCAAAAAGCATGCCTCTTACATGTAAAAAAGTCTATTCAGAATTTGTCACAAATCCCCCCACCAATGAATACATGCTAATAAAAATGGGGAAAAAGGTCATGTCTCAGTATTCCTTTTAAGTTGCACACTGTCATTTTAAAACATGCATGCCCCACACTATCACATTAGTTAAAAGGAACTCTTACAGCATCAACAGGTCAATGAACACAGGATTAGGGAAAGTAGATTTTTGACAATTCTCAAAAATCTCAATTTCTATTTGTAAAACTAAAGGGAAAGACTTAAAATTCTAGAAAAGAGATTTAAAAAATACATTCTTTCTTTCCACACATACTCTCCTAGTTTCCATTCTCCCCCTCCTCTCCTTCCGTTTCTTCTCTCTACACCTCTTCTATTTCTCACCCATCTTCCCACCTCTCTTTTTTATTTCCCCCTGCCTCCCTACTATCCCTCTCCATCCTCTTTACAATCCCTCCTTCTTTTCCCTTGCTCTTCTTATCTCAGGTATTATAATGAAGCCAGACAGGATACACTTTTAATCCATCTCCATCCCCCTTCTGAACTGTGAGACATGTAGCAGCTGCCCAATGTCATCTTCATCTGGCGGCAGATGTTAATCTATTACCCAGGTTCCCTAGCTCAATGCCTCAGAGGCATCAATGACTGACTCGCACACCCACACTCCTGGCTCCGGAGTGGTTTTCAATCTGTTCAGGTCTTCCTTATCATTCATTTGCATGACTTAGCAGCTTTCTCCCTTCCTCCAAAGTAACCCACCTCCCATCTGTCCTCCATTCTGTTCCCACAGTCATCTTTCTAAAACATACAAATAATCATGTCACTCCTTTGTGTAAAAATCCTTGCTTCTTAATCCTAGCACTCTAGAGACTGAGGCAGGAGGATCACAAGTTTGAGGTCAGCCTGGACTACACAGGGGATCCTGACTTAAAATTACTCCTCTTTATCTCATTACCTCTACTTGTTCTTTAAGATTTAACTCATGCAGCATCTCTGGCAAGCATTCCTTGAATTATAATGGCAGTTCAATGCTCCTCATCTGTGTTCTCTTGCCCTCCAAATATAGTTACTCCTTATAAGCAAATAAACTTGTGCCAATGGAAGAAATTACAAGTGATAATAAAATACACACACACACACACATATATATGGAAAAATATGTATATGGAAAAATCATGGCATTTAGCTGACTATATATTTTACTTACTTTTGTGGAGTCAAAAGAGGCAAATCCCATTAACTTCATCATTTCTATTTCTTCCTCTGTTTTGCCCTCTAGGTCTTCCTCTGCAAAAAATAACTTTTTAACTCTGATATCATTATGTACTTATATATGTACTCACACATACACAAATGTATATGTACATGTACATGTAAATAAAAAGAGTGGCAACAGATTAATAGACATTCCATGTCAATAGCAGAGAATATATAAAAGAAATCCAGTGAGAAAAATTCATCTTAAATTTGGACAGATATAACAGGGTGCAAGAAAAGACTGTGTTGAGCTGGAGGTATAGCTCAAGTGGCAAAGCATTTGCCTAGCAAGTGCAAAGCCCTAAGTTCAAACCCCAGTACTAACAAAAAAAAAAAAAAGAGAAAAAGGAAAGCCTGTGCTCTCCTTGGAGCCTTTAAGTAGGATCACCTTTAATAAAATATGATACTATGTATCTAGTTTTGAAGAGACTTCCAAAATAGAGTTTTCTCATGTTTTTAAATACCCTTCCTAGATTACATTAGGAGAACCACAGATAACCAGCAATTCACTAAGATACAATTAAGTCAAAATCTCAAAACCATAGGCAATGAACACTATAAAAAGTTAAATATTTCCAGGCACCAGTGGCTCACACCTGTAATTCTAGCTACGTGGGAGGCTGAGATTAGAAGAATCATGGTTCAACACCAACCTGAGCAAAGAGTTCTCAAAACTCCCATCTCCAAATTAACCTGAGCGAAACTGGATTGGAAGTGTGGCTCAAGAGTTAGAGTGCCTGCTTTGCAAGCACAGAGTTTCAAATTCAAACCTCAGTCTTACCAAAAAAAAACCTTAATATTTAAAATGTTCAAAAATTAAAGGTTTTATCTAACTTTACCAGTAATTTGACGTTCTTTGCTCTTTGTTTCTTTTGTTTCTTTCTTTTCCTCATCTCTTCTTTCTTTCAGTCGAGAAGGGGAAGGAGATGTGGATCTATGTCGTCTTGGAGACCTAATATTTGTAAGTAAAGATGTTAGAAACACACAAACATGCTAGGCATGGTGGCGCACCCCTGTAATTCTAGCATTCAGGAAGCTAAGGCAGGAAGACAGCAAGTTGGAGGCCAGACTAGGCTAGGTATTGAGACTCTGTCTCAAAAAAACAAACAAAAGGTCACTCTGTAAATCAGTGCAGATATATAAAAGTTTCTGAAAGGTGAAGGCTGAACAAAATCTAAGTTCCAGTCAACCCAGAGTCCATTCTTCATAGCAGATTGAGGAAGAAGCTTTTGTACCTAGTCTCTGACTGTTAAGAAAAAAATAAAAAATACAGAAAGTTTTTATGAGACAGAAAAATCTATCTCTTTAAAAAGTTTCTAACTGTTGAATAATAGGCAGTAGAAAGGAAAGGGTAAGGGAGGGCAGTAGAGGGGCTGAACTAACCAAGTACAGTATATTCACAGCCGGGATACATCGAGAAACTCTTTTGAACACTGACTTTGGAAGTAAAAATGAAAGACAGGACTGTAAAATAAGTACCTGGAGGGGCAGGGAGAACTTGTGGGAGGGGGACAGCAAATAGAAGAAGGTGAGGGAATATGGCTTTGTATACACATGAAATAGAATGGTGAAACCTCCTGCAATTGTTTTAAGTAGGGTGGGGAGGGGGTGTGTGTGGGAAAGATGACGGTAGTGATCTAATCAATGTACAACATAAGGCCATCCGGAATAGTCACAATGAATTTATCCTGTGCAATGAATATATGCTAAAAGTGGAAAAAATGTTTCTAACAATTATACATACACACAGAGGAAAAAAAAAAGTCCACTAAACAACTAATACTTACTAAGAAAGAGCCTTCCTCTAAAGATCCAAGATCATTTAAGATCTCCTGTCCTTCCCCACCCCCCCATTTTTTTTGTTGTTGGAGGTACTGGGGTTTGAATTCAGGGCCTGGCACTTGTTAGGCAGTTGCTCTCAGTTGCACTTGAGCCACACCCCCAGCCCTTTTTAGGTTCGATCATTCTTCAGGTAAGGTTTCACAGTTTTTGCCTGAGCCAGCCTACATTTCACATTTAACTGGGATCACAGGCATGCGACACCACACCAGGCTTATTTGTTGAGACAGGTACTCATAGGATTTCTCCCCACCCCACCCCCAAAGTTTGAAGATCTCCCCACCTCCTGAGTAGATGGGATTACATCCAACCTGAGATCCACCACATCCAACCTGAGATCTCCCATTTTTTATTACATACTTGAATAAACTGTTACCACCAAAAAGTTAAAAACCAACAAAAACAGAAAGTACTTATTTCTTACTCTTGTCAAACACCACACTAATTGGTTTTTACTCACTATTCCTCATTTACTACTCAACTCTGTCATGTGGAGTATAATAAACCCCATTTTGCCAAGGATACGGTTAAGCTTTAGCATAAAGTAGGGTGAAGTTTCTCCATTTCATAAAACTGTAAATTCCCTTACAGAGAATAAAAAGAAATCTCGGGGCCGTGACGGTTTCTTTGTTCTTTGTAGCTGTGTGGTCATCTTCTGGTTTATTTTATGCACCCACCTGGAGCGCCTCCGGTGCGGGGATCTGGAGCGGCTCCTTCTCCGATCTCTGTCCCGAGAACGGGACCTTTCTCGGCGCCGGCGTTCTCTCTCCCGAGATGTGGACCGAGACCGCCTGCGTTCTAATACAAACACAAAAATTGCAAAGCAAAAAAATACTTCAGGTATCCAAAAGAATTATAATGCGAGCTACTTCTAGTTGTCACAATGAAAGATTAAAAAAAAAAAGGAGACAGTAATTTTGAACCAGGATATTCAAACTATTATTCCAACATGTAGGCCAATATAAAAGGAGTTTTTGTCTGTTTTTGGTGGGACTGGGGTTTGAACTCTGGGATTCCCACTTGCAAAGCAGGGGTTGTATCGCTTGAGCCACATCTCCAGTCCATCTTGCTGTGGTTATTTTGGAGATTGGGGGGGTGGAGGGTGGGGGCTCTCAAGAAGTATTTGCCCGGGCTGGCCTCGAACCGCGATCCTCCCAATTTCAACTTCACAAGTAGGATTACAGGGAGAAGCCACAGGCTTAAAATTGAGATTTTTTGTTTGTTTGTTTGGAGGTACTGAGGTTTGAACTCAGCGCCTTCTGCGAGCTAAGCAGGCGCTCTACCACTTGAGTCACGTTCCTAGCCCAGTCCAGGATCTTTACTTCGCATTCCATCATTTGCAGGACTGGGGCAGAAGACAAAACCATACGGGACATCTGTGAGCCAGGGAAACCGCGCACTGAATGCTAAGGAGTGGGACATCAATGCTCACGTCAGCTTGCAAGTATCATTACTCCCAATGACTACAAGCATTCGACTCAGGGAGGTTCGCTGATTTTGGGCACGGTCACCCAGAAATTAAGTGAAGGAACTGGGGTCTGATTTTTAAACCCGCCGGCCACGAGAATAATAAAAGCCACTGGATGAGGCTGACAACGAGTCGGTGAAACCCTAATTCAGAAGGAAAACAAAAAAGCCAAAACACTGCCTTGAAACCACAAGCTGAAACGTAGGACCCATATCTAGATTCCTCATCCCTCACTCTCCTCTGGAGGAAAGCGCCCGCCTCTTCGCTGTTCTTGTGCTTGATTTTCAAAAAAGACAGAAAAGAAGAAGAAAAGGCGGGTGGTGCGCCCGAGACGGAGTCCCAACGCTGTGAGTAGACGCTAGACTCACCCCTCCTTGGAGAGCGGCTCCGACTACGACCCATTCGGATTTCTATCCCTCCTCAGACCGCCCCGGAAACGGCTTAAAACAACTTCCGGGAGAGGCGGGCCCGAGCTTTGACCGCCGACTGGAAAAAGAGAGCTCAGTCGTATGGGTTCCGAACCTTAAAGAACGCAAGCTGCGCTGAGCCGGCCCAGAATCATGCAGCTCCGCTCCGGGGTTCCGGTAGTGTCGGGGTGTGTTATTTGTGCTCCAGCCACACTCATTTCCATCTGACTTTCCCGTTATCTTTGTCCACCGTAGGTATTAAAATATGCTAGTTGATAGTGTTCTAGAAATGGCTGGAGAATTTAACCGTACACGCACCACAACCAAGTTTTCATTTCTCCCATCTTTTGCAGTGCTTGTCCACATGCATGATATACTTTACATGAAATAAAGTCTAATCGGCATACGCTAGCTACCACTTTGTTTTTCGACTTTATAAAATAATGTTTTTTTTATAAGGAGTGAATACATCAGAATTCATTGTCAGCTTTTCTAAATGCCAGTATTGAGAGGGCACCCCAAAATTGCATGGAGTTTTGTAAGGAAAAGCAAAGGCTCTGTATTCGCCCTACTCCCAAGAACTACATCTCAGAAGCTGCCACAACCCTCAAAATGAGAGGCTTTATAACGCTCAAATTTGCAGGAACAAGGAGAAAGGCTACCTTGCCCTCACAAGGCTTAACCTTCTGTGGTAGAAGGTAAACCCACTAACCAGGAAAAGACTGAACCTGTGATCCTAGCAAGGCCGATGGCCTATCTTTAAAAAAATTTTTTGGCAGTGCTGAGGTGTGAATTCAGGGCCTCACACGTGGTAGGCAGGCACTGTTCTACTTGAGCCACTCTACTGTCCCTTACCTGGCTTTTAGAACAGAGTGGGGAAATGTTGGAAACACCCTGCCCACAAGTCATAAATTAGATTCTTACATGCTGATGTGATCTCTTTAATACCTGTTCCCACCCCAAAGTTCTAGAAAGGAACCAGCTGTGGTATCTAGAATGTCCACCAGAAGGTCTGAATCCCAGACTCTTGGAATAATCCTGGCAGAGGGTGCACTAAGGTGTGGAAGACAGAAGTTTAAGGGCAAGTGTTGCCAAGCTCCCAGAAGAAAGATTGAGGGGTGTTCCTGGAGAAACACAGCACTAGTGATTGAAGACTTTGTTCCCAGGGAAGACAGAGAAATTATAGGAAGCCATATGGTGGAAGCTTGCTTTTCTTTTTTTCTCTTTTGTTAGTTTACTTTACTTTTTTTTTTTTCCGTACTAGGGTTTGAACCCAGGGCCTATACCTTGAGCCATTCCAAGGTATGTGATGGATTTTTTCGTAATGGATTTTTGTGTGTGTGTGATGGATTTTTTTCAAGATAGGATCTTGCAAACTATTTGCCTGGGCTGGCTTTGAACCTCAATCCTCCTGATCTCTGCCTCCTGAGTAGCTAGGAGGTGTGAGCCACAGGTGCCCAGTTACTTTTATTTTCTTTCTTCTTTCTTTCTTCCTTCCTTCCTTCTTCCTTTCTTCTTTTCGTTCTTCTTCCTCTCTCCCTCCCTTCCTTCCCTTCTCCCTCCCTTCCCTCCTCTCTCCCTCCCTTCCTTCCTTCCCTCCTCCCTCCCTTCCTTCTTTCCTGCTCTCCTTGCCTCCTTCCTTCCTTCCTTCCTTCCTTCCTTCCTTTGTGTTTCTCTCTCCCTCTTTTTTCTTTTTGCATCGACTTACTTTTCTTTCTTTCTTTCTCCTTCCTTCCTTCTTTCCTTCCTTCTTCCTACCTTTCTTCCTTCCTTGTCTTCTGTTAGGTCCCTGGCATTCTTGGGGCCAGCAGAAGTTCCCGAGGCTAACATGGAAACCAGACCCCCTGATTTATAACCGCTTGCCAAACTTCCCTGCTTGCAAAATCTCAGGAACTTCCAGTTTCTCAACTAGCTAGGCACGTCAACCCGTTATATCTGGTGATTGCAGATAATCGGAAACCAGGAACTCTCTCCCTCCCTCACAGCTTGGACCCTCCTATAAAGCCCACTACCCATTCCAGCCAAGCTTCTGCGCTCTAAACCCTAGAGAGACAGCCCTGCAGTCTGACCCATAATACATCTTTCTTTTCCACACTTGGCATGGCCTTTATTCGGCAGTTCCTTACATCTTCCTTCCTTCCTTCCTTCTTTCCTCCCTCCCTCTTTCTTCTTTCTTTCTTCCTCTCTCCCTCCCTTCTTCCCTCCTCCCTCCCTTCCCTTCCTTCCCTCCCTCCCTCCCTCCCTTCCCTCCTTGCCTCCCTCCCTTCCCTCCCTCCCTCCCTCCCTCCCTCCCTTCCTTCCTTCCTTCCTTCCTCTGTGTTTCTCTCTCTCTCTCTCTCCTTTCTTTTTTCTTTTTCCATCAAGGTTTGTGTCTCCTCTGATGAAAGCACTTCAAGAAACTCCTCCAGAACTTCCAGGAATGGTTGGGAGGTAGGCTGGAGATCAGTTTAATAAATGAACATTTTTGGAAGGCCTACTGTATTATACCACATTGCTGTGGCACTAGGATGAAAAGATGATGTGGAGCTTCAGTGTAGACTTCAAGGAGAGTACAGACTAGTTGTGGAGGCAGACATAATAAGGCACTTTTCACTACAATGTGGTAAGACAAGATACACGTGGAGTGTGCTATGGAAACATAAAAAGACATTCAGCCTAATTTGGTATTCTAAGAAGGTTTCCTGGAAAAATATTACCTAATACCTACTGTACTGTGTGCCAGACACTGCTATAATGTAAAAACAAATGTGTATGTACCCAAAGGAGTTGTCCAGGTAAAGGAGGTGCAGTAGCAAAGGAACAGAGCTTCCATACCATGCAAGTCCTATAGATGGCGTGATATTATATCACACTGGGCTCATCATGGGAGACCATAATACTTATCTGACCTTTATCCTTAAGACCATGAGGCCTCTGGAGCATTTTAAGCTGGACAGTTACATGACTAGATTTGTGTTTTAGATGGTTCTTTCTCACTGCCAGATGTAAACACTTGAGCCAGAGAAAAGAGATGGAGTGAATGAAGAAGCTGCACTAGGACAATGATGAAAGAGAAGAAATAGGAAGAACAGAATGGGGAAACACTTGAGAAGCAGCATGGCAGGTGTTAGTGGCTGGAAGATATGATTCCCAAGCAGGTTCAGCTTCACAGGCCTGGACTTAGAAAGGCCTCACACTTTGCTTTCAGCTGCTGCCATCTTGAAGTTCTTTCCAATATTTGAATACCAAGACCTTTATGTCTTGTATTTTCACCTTGCACTGTGACTAGCTTTGTGCATCTTTTTGTGATGCTTATTGAGAGAGCGAGAGTTGGTCTGTTCACCACAAACATGAAAGTATATGGAAGAGGTGTGGAGAAGGCAACAAAAGGGTGATTTCTTTCTGATGTGAGGTTTCCTCTGTTGAAGAATAGTATGAGTCTTCCTGTTCCTCTTCATCAACTCAGAGGAGCTCTTCTTGTGTGCATTTTTGATCCACAGTTGAGAACACAGTTACACTTCAACTTGTGGTGGAGGGAGAATCTGAATTTCATTTTGTTAAACTATTAAGTATTGTGAACATCCAAATAAATATTTTTGACAGACATTGGGCTCTATGCAGACTGAGTCTGATATTCAGGGGAGGCAGCAGTAGTAAAGATAGAGGTGGGGGATTTATACACCACAGAAGTCCATGGGTTTGTTCCATAAGAAAAGCCAAGGATAGCCCCCAGGAGCTTTGTGGCTGAGACAGAAGATGAAAGGCTCACAGAGAGGCCAAGACTCAACTGACAAGTATAAAAACACTAGCGGAGAATTCACGGGAGTAGAGGCTTTTTTTTTTTTTTTTTCTGGTACTGGGGATTGACTCAGAGCCTTCTACTTGCTAGGAAAGGGCTCTACCACCTGAGCCACACCCCCAATAGTTGTTTCTCAGGTAGGGTCTCTAGTTTTTTTTTTTACTCTGGATGGCCTCAAACTCCTACCTATAGCCTCCCACATAACTGGGATCACAGGCACATGCCACCATTGCCCAGTTTATTGATGGGGATTTGCTGTTTGCTCAGGCTGGTCTCCAACCTCAATCATCCTGAACTCCGCCTTCCAAGTAGTTGGGATTACAGAAATGAGCTACCATGCCCAGCTTTTTAGTTTGATACTTTGTCTAGTTTGGCTTTTAGTTCTTGTTTTTCTTTTTTTTTTTTTTTTGGTCTGGACTGGCCTGGTCCTGTGATCCTCCTACCTCTGCCTCCTGAGTAGTTGGAATTACAGTCATACACTGCCACGTTCAGCCATAAGTGGGTAGAATTTTGAGGAGGAAAAGAGAATGGTCAGTATAGGAGGCTGAACAGCCCACTAAAGACATCTGGTCCTTATTCCTGGAACCTATTAATGTTACCTTATGTGGGAAAGGTCTTGCAGATGTTAGGATACTAAGATAGGAAGATTATCCTAGATGTTCTAGGCAGATCCTAAAATACCATCATGAATATCTTTCTAAGAGGAGAGGCAGACACTGTGATTGCAGAAGCAGAGGTTGGAGTGATAAAATGCCAGCAGCTACTAGAAGTTGTAACAAGCAAGGAAGGGACTCTTCTCTATGCTCCAGAGGAGTGAAGCTGGGCTGACACTTTTGGCCCATTGATCCTGACTTTGGACTTGTGGCCACTCAACTTGTGAGAGAATACACTTCTGTTGTTTTAAGCTATCACGTTGTGGTAATTGGTTGCAGAAGCCTCAGGAAACGCATACCATCGGCTCTGTCAAGTCCTTCATAATGGGAACTGAAAACTGCCCGTTGGGTTTAGCAATACAGAGCCATTGGTGAGCTTCCCAAAAATTGTTTTGGTGAAGAGTCAGCAAAGACAAGGGATTGCCCCTACCTTTCCCTCTTCCTAAATCCCTGCTAACACTGGAAATTATAGAAGATGCCATCAGTGGACAAGAAACTGAGCTTCTGAATTAGAAAAGTCAGACCTGACACATTGGCAATTAGCATAGCTGAAGATGATGAGTGGAAAGGACAGCAGGTTTGTTTTACT